CTTGTTGCTGTTCTTGCGTTCGCTGAAGTTATTGAAGTTTGAGGTACCGCTACTTCTTTAACAGGTTAATCCGTTTTATCTTGGGAGGAATTAATCTGCAACCTCGTGTACAGTGAGGGGATTAAATTTCTTAAGGAAACATAGTGATTTATGTGGACTCGGATTAAAAATCATCCTGTCTATTTCATCTTTTTCTGTTTCTGTATGTTTGACTAACCTGAATACAGGAGATAACACGAATCACATAGATAAGTCACTACCTGCTAGCGTGTGGATGGATAGGTAATTTTCAATATCTGTTTCGTTGATACAAAGATCGGACCAATAACTTGAAGCAAAATCAAGCAAATGAGTAGTAACTTTTATTCTTTAATATTGATCTCACATTACTCAAATCAAATAATTCAATTATGTTTAAACACACTTAATAGATAGAAAAACAACACAATCAAGAACCCATCCAGTAATTATTTTTCAAGTTGAAAGCAACAACTACTAATTATTCAAAAGAGTAGAAGATGTTGAGATGGATCAATTGTATTTATGGGCAATCTCCAACAGAGTGTCACAAAGTTGTTTGGGCATACTTAGCATTGTCATATGATCAGCACCTTTAATCTCCTTTGTTTCTATGATACTATTAATGTTGTCAATTTGCCATTTTTGAAACTCTTTTGGTATGAGTTTATCCTCTGTGCATACTATATAAACTTTCACAGATGAAGGATATGGATCAGTGAAGAAAGTTTATATAGTATGCACAGAGGATAAACTCATACCAAAAGAACCCATCTAGTAATTATTTTTCAAGTTGAAAGCAACAACTACTAATTATTCAAAAGAGTAGAAGATGTTGAGATGGATCAATTGTATTTATGGGCAATCTCCAACAGAGTGTCACAAAGTTGTTTGGGCATACTTAGCATTGTCATATGATCAGCACCTTTAATCTCCTTTGTTTCTATGATACTATTAATGTTGTCAATTTGCCATTTTTGAAACTCTTTTGGTCCTCAGGTACCGCTACTTCTTTAACAGGATTAATCCGTTTTATCTTGGGAGGAATTAATCTGCAACCTCGGGTACAGTGAGGGGATTAAATTTCTTAAGGAAACACAGTGGTTTCTGTGGACTCAGATTAAAAATCATTTTGTCTATTTCATCTTTTTCTGTTTCTGTATTTTTGACTAACCTGAATACAGGAGATAACAATCTTAAGAAATTTAAAGTTTCTGTATTTGAGGTTTCTGGAGATTAAAACCTTTATGGTTTTCTACCCTGTTTGAATTTTAAAAATTCATTCGATTAACAATTAAAAGAACATATAAACTTTATCGTTAAATCAGAAACAATCTGTGTAAGGATATATTCTTTACTGTTAGTATTTCACATAATAAAATTGTCTGTCATTTGTGACAGAAAAAATGACTAATTCAAGTCAAGTACACGCTGCAACAGTAAGTGCTGCAACAACATCGGTTGCACACAATCGCTCAACTGCTGCCCTAGCACCGGTTGAGAAACCTGCAAAGTTTTCTGGAGTCGACTTCAAGAGATGGCAGCAAAAGATGTTCTTCTATCTGACTACATTGAGTCTGAAGAGGTTCATTAATGAGAACGTTCATGTTATGTCGGATGAAACTCCGCCTGAAGAACGATTCTTGGTAACAGAAGTATGGACACATTCTGATTTTTTGTGTAAAAATTATATTTTGAGTGGCATGCAGGATGATCTGTACAATGTGTATAGTAATGTCAAAACGTCAAAAGAACTCTGGGATGCTTTAGAAAAGAAGTACAAAACAGAGGATTTCGGAATGAAGAAGTTCATTGTGGCAAAGTTTCTAGACTATAAGATGATAGACAGTAAGACCGCCGGGACTCAAGTTCAAGAATTATAGGTCATAATCCATGATCTCCTTGCTAAAGGTATACATTTATTTAATACCTATGTTGGAAATATTAAGTCTATTCTTAATACTCACATAATCTTTAATGTATGATTGGTTGTGAATGATGCTTTTCAAGTGGCTGCCATTATTGAGAAGTTACCTTCATTGTGGAAGGACTTCAAAAACTACTTGAAACATAATTGCAAGGAGATGACTGTTGGAGATCTCATGGTAAGGCTGAGAATCGAAAAGGATAACAAGGCCGCAGAAAAGAGTTCACATAGTAATTTAGCAACATCTGGAGTAAATATTGTTGAGAAGATCCCACAAAATCAAAGAAAAGAAAGAAAACATCTGGTCCAAAGAGCAATCCTCCTAAGAAGAAATTCAATGGAAGCTGCTTCAATTGTGGCAAACGTGGTCATAAGACTACTGAATGTCGGGGTCCCAAGAAGGACAAAAAGAAGGATCAAGCAAATTTGGCTGAATTCAAAGGAGAGATAGACGATCTTTGTACAATGCTTTCAGAATGCAACTTGGTTGGAAATCCAAGAGAGTGGTGAATAGATTATGGTGCCTCATGCCATGTTTGTGCCAACAAAGAATTATTTTCATCATATACTCCAGCACCTACAGACGAGAAGTTATTTATGGCAAACTCCGATGTTGCAAAGGTGGAAGGAACTGGCAAAGTCCCCTTAAAGATGACATCGGGCAAGGTGGTGACTTTGAACAGGGTCTCGTATGTTCCGAAATTGCGAAAGAACTTAGTTTCTATATCAGTTCTGACTAAGAACGGACTCAAATGTGTATTTGTTTCTAATAAAGTTGTAGTGAGTAAGTATGAGATGTATGTAGGAAAAGGTTACCTCACTGAGGGCCTTTTTAAACTCAATGTAATTGCAGTTGATATGAATAAAGATTCTGCTTCTTCTTACTTGCTTGAGTCTAAATGTTTATGGCATGAACGCTTGGGACACGTTAATAACAAAATCTTGCGAAAACTGATTAACTTAAATGTTTTGTCTAAATTTGAGTGCAATAAATCAAAATGTCAAGTTTGCGTTGAATCTAAGTATGCTAAGCATCATTATAAGTCTGTTGAAAGGAATTCATATCCCTTAGAACTGATTCACACAGACATTTGTGACATGAAGTCAACACCAACACGTGGTGGAAAAAAGTATTTCATAACTTTTATTGACGATTGCACTAGATATTGTTATGTCTATTTGCTAAATGGTAAGGATGAAGAAATAGATACATTTAGGCAATATAAAATTGAAGTTGAAAATCAGTTGGATAGAAAGATCAAAATGATCAGAAGTGATAGAGGTGGAGAATATGAATCTCCATTTGCAGAAATATGTTTGGAAAATGTAATCATCTATCAAACTACTGCACCTTACTCTCCTCAATCTAATGGAATTAGCGGAAAGAAAAAACCAAACTTTAAAGGAAATGATGAATGCCTTACTTATAAGTTCAGGTTTACCACAAAACTTGTGGGGGGAAGCTATCCTTACAGCAAATTGAATACTCAATAGAGTGCCTCACACGAAGACACATGTTATTCCATATGAGAAATGGAAAGGTAGAAAACCCAACTTGAAATATTTCAAAGTGTGGGGGTGTCTAGCCAAAGTCCAGGTTCCTATACCTAAAAGGGTGAAAATAAGGCCTAAGACTGTGGCTTGTGTATTCATTGGATATGCCACAAATAGTAAGGCATGTCGATTTTTGGTTCATAAGTCCGAACATTCGGATATTCATGATAATACGGTAAAGGAATCAGATAATGCTGAATTTTTTGAACATATCTATCCGTATAAAACTAGACTTGAGTCATCTAGTGGGGGGGTCTAAACAACCTCGAGAAGGACCAAAAGAGAATGAAACCAATGAAGAGAGTCCAAGGCCCAGTAAACATCAAAGGACAACTACTTCACTTGGATCTGATTTTGTAACATTCCTTCTTGAAAGTGAGCCTCAAACATTCAAGGAAGCGATGTTGTCTAGCGACTCAACCTCTTAGAAAGAGGCTATCAATAGTGAGATTGAATCAATCTTAAGCAATCATACTTGGGAGTTGGTTGATCTTCCTCCAGGGAACAAATCCTTAGGTTCAAAATGAATCTTCAAAAATAAGATGAAAGATGATGGAACTATTGACAAATATAAAGCAAGACTTGTTGTCAAAGGCTTTAGATAGAAATAAGGTCTTGATTATTTTGACACATACTCGCCAGTGACTAGGATTACATCAATTCAGATGTTAATTGCCCTAGCTGCAGTATACGGTCTTGAAATCCATCAAATGGATGTGAAAACCGCCTTCTTAAATAGAGAGCTGGAGGAAGAGATTTACATGGAACAACTTGAGGGCTTCGTAGTTCTCGGTGAAGAAAAGAAAGTATGCAAACTTGTTAAGTCACTTTATGGACTAAAACAAGCACCGAAACAATGGCATGCAAAGTTTGATCAAACCATGTTGTCAAATGGATTTAAGATCAATGAGTGTGATAAATGTGTTTACATTAAAGACACTCCAGCTCAGGAAGTCATTGTATGCCTATAATGTGGATGACATGCTGATAATGAGCAAGGACATTGTCAATATAAAAGGTACTAAGCGTATGCTTGCTAGTAAGTTTGATATGAAAGATCTAGGAGTAGCCGATTTGATATTGGGAATTAACATTCACAAAACTCCTAATGGTCTAGCATTGTCTCAATCTCATTATATTCAAAAGGTACTTGAAAAGTTCAAGTATTTGAATTTCAAAAAGGCAAAACCCCAATTGATGTGAACCTTAATCTTGCTAAGAATAAAGGTGAAAGTCAGTCTCAATTGGATTATGCCAGAGTATTGGGAATTTGATGTATGTTATGAATTGTACAGACCAGACATAGCCTGCGCTATAAGTAAACTGAGTCGATACACAAGTAATCCCAATCAAAATCATTGGTTGGCAATGAAGAGATTTTGGGGGTACTTAGAAGACACTCAAAACTATGCTTTGCATTACAACAAATATCCAACAGTTCTTGAAGGATATAGGATGCAAATTGGATTACTGGGTCAACTGAAACGAGATCCACGAGTGGATATATTTTTACTATTGGTGGAGGAGCAATATCTTAGAAATCATCCAAACAAACATGTATAGCTCGCTCTACAATGGAGTCTGAATTCATCGCCTTAGACGAGGTAGGTGAAAAAGCTGAATGGCTCCAGAATTTCTTAGAAGATATTCCGTTTTGGCCCAAACCAATGGCCCCTATATGCATACACTGCGATAGTCAAGATGCAATAGGAAGGGCTGGAAGTGTTATGTATAATGGGAAGTCTCGTCACATAAGACGAAGACATAACTCTGTTAGACAACTACTCTCTAGTGGAATTATCACAATTGACTATGTAAAGTCAAAGGATAATGTGTCGGATCCACTTACAAAAGGCCTAACTAGAGAGGGAGTTGAGAGATCATCGACGGGAATGGGACTATGGACGAGAACAAGTCATAGTGGCGGTAACTCTACCTAGAAGACCAGAGATCCCAAGATCTAGGTTCAAGGAGATAAAACAAAGTCATAAATGACGGTTCAACATTGTCAAAATTTATTTTATGTCCATTCTCATGATGAGACAATGTTCAGTAACCAGGATAAAGGCATAAGGACTTTTTAATGGTTTCTAAGTTTGATACAGGGTATATCAAATAGTGTATCTACGGGATAACACAGTTAGAAACCACCTATGTAAGTGTGAAGTGTAAGCCGCTTCAAGGAAAATCCGGTAAGGCCAGTTCTTTAAGCACTTATTAACCGAGATGTGTTCATGGCTGAAACGAACAAAACAATGAGAACCAAAAACAGTTCAAGGGTTGATTGTGTGACTTATGTTGTCTAGGTATACACTAAAGCTCGACGGTTCAAAGATATCAAATATACCGATTGACCGAGTATATCCGATATATGTTCACTACGGAAAGTTTAAAGGGAAACCTACTTATCCAGATGCGATTAACCCTTACTTACGAGACATGCAAGTTTTTCAAGCATATGTTTTAACTATAGCCATTCCCCATTCATGTGGGGGATTGTTGGGTTTAGCAAGGTGTGAATGAGAAATAAAAAGAGAAAATGGAAAGTGGAAGAACCAATGAAAATGGGGGAACCAATTTTGGAGGGAAAATGAAAAGTCATTGAAAAAGTTCAAATGAAAGGTCATTTTTACCATATTGGTAGAAGAAAGGAAATTGTTGTCCTTATATTAGGAAACACTTCCTTTAGTTCTTAAAGGGTTAGAAGAAGGTGCCCCCTCGCGCCGTCGTCGCTCGCTCGGCCTCGGCTTCGGCTTCGGCTT